ATAGTTTCTCCATCTACCATGGTGTTATATATGCAAGTGTATACCACTTCGTCGTCAGCACACGCGTCGGTCTGGTAATTAGCTGTGCAGGATGGTTGCAATATGTTGTCCGGACACTCCATGGAACTAACAGATCTATGCCGCCTCAGAAAGACCCCCCAAACCACCCCTGGCCCGGCCTAGTCACAGAATGGCATCCCACGTGACATCCCTGAGATGTTCTGTCGCACGTCCGAAATGCTTCAATGCCTTGGACTTCCCTCACGGCGATGCTCTCTCAGTGGCAGAAAACTCGCAAAAGAACATTGTTTTTCGTATGTCCCAGGAAACGGCTGGTAGCGATTCGTTCGAGTTGTTTCTGTGTGTTTGACAACGGAATATATGATATATGTATGTCAACAATCATATGTGCAACACCTTACAGTTCTCAAGCTAGAGCTTGTTGAGCCGTCAGGACCTCTATTGACCTTTTTTATGCCGTCAGCAAAGAAGGATCACTCTTTGAGAGATGGATGGAAAGGCCCTGCTACCAGGCCCCATCATCGTCCACTGGGGATTAGGAACGAGTAGGATTCCATCCGATATACTCAAGGTGTTTGGAATTCGTAATGATATGTTATAATTATGTTTGTGTTCTTCCTCACGTGAGAACTCAATTCATAGTACTTATTCCAGGTACCTTTGCAGATGTCAGCCTGCAACTGATGTCAGCCGGCGACGGCGATGGGGTCGTTCTTCCCGCGATGTGTCTCCAGCCACGACGGACGGCGTAAGTAAATATGACCTACCTGAACACCACGCAAAACCATCAGTCATGAGACGGCGACAATTTGCTTAGGTTCCATGTTAACCTGCAGGGGACGACCGTCATGTCTTCATCTTTTTCCCAAGACATGGAAAACGTCCAAACCAAGTTGGAGAACGCCATCATCCACACCCTCTCCGGCTCCACCCGCGGAACGTAGGGGAATGCTTGTTGCGAAACGGAGCAAGTGTCGCCGGCATAGGTGAGTGTTGGTCCAGGCTGGCGACTTGATGTTCAGAGCGGAGATGATCTGAGATGTTCGCAAAGCTTTTGCACCGCTCGAGCTCCAGTGACAGTCATGAGATCCCCAAATAGACGTTTATAGATTAGATGTTGCAGCTTCAGAAGAGCTCCGTTACTTGAAAACGATTTGGTTGTGCTCCATTTTATCAAACTCCCCGTCTTGGTTGAGATATGGTGGGATCCCGTGGCGAAGTCAAGGAGGTGAGACATGGATGACCTGGATGACCTCAACCTCTATAATGTAGACTCTTGAGGACCATAAACCCCCCATATGAAGAGGAGGTTGACATCATTTGACATCATATTAATCAAGAGCTTACATCATACCAAAAGTATTTTGGTCTCGTCAGCCGTACAAAAATGTCAACTATCAAATTGGGATCTCAGCACCAACTCTTGAGGACAGGTTTTTCCCCCAGCAACATGCTTCACCGAGGCCGCCTTTTTCGGTTGTTTTTTTGTTTTGAACGCTCTCGAGGCGTATTCTCAACGAGGCCCTGGGCCCTGACATCGTGGGTCCACCGACATCTGGGGGCAGTGCAAAGCAACAGGGTCGGACTCGACACCACAAACATTGCAGGCGGGCCCCACTAGCTAGCTCTCCGCCTGGTGTAGCTCCACGTATTGCCGCAAGTTGGTTGGTTCCTCAGACCTTCACATGTTAAACGAAAGCAACACATCAAGCAACCGAGATGAACAAGAGATTATAACAATGATTAGCCTACTTTAAGATATGTGTTAAGTGTGCGTTCAATCGTTGGTTGCAAGTCGGGCTATTTGTTAGCAGAGGTTTACAATTGCTATTTTGTGCTACATATGTTTGAAGTTTTAAGAATGGGCGGGGTGTTATAAAGATACTTGGGACTGTTGATGTGTTTTGTGTCGATGCCTTGAAATCTTAGATCTTGAAAATATGAATACATACAATAGACATTAAATAAACCATGTACATTCAAATATAATCAACCAGTTACATAGTTGGTTGTAAATTGAAAAAAATGTATTTAGTTATGTTTAACGCATAGTTTTTGTTGTACTGCAGGAAGCGTAGTTTATAAACGTGCCGTGTTTGCTAGAATATATACTATATATATAATATGTCACTTGAGATCAATTTTCACATATACATAGTTTGTCTTTAGAACAGCAGAGGTCCATCGTGTTTGTTGAGATTATATTGTGCGAGTACTGGACCACATTTCACAACAATTGGCAGATTATTGCCCTATGCAGATAGTGTATGTGTATGCTTTTTTTTGGGTTGTGCAATGTTCACACGATCACCAATCTCCCTATTTCAGGGCCGTGATGACTGAAGAATATTCTGCCCTAGGGCGTCGATCATGAGAAGATAGGTTGACCTGGCGAAATGCAATCCAACATCCTGGTAAAGCAATGGTTGTTGGGGATGTAGGCTGCTATAGCGATGGTGGACCAGAAGTCCTAGCGTAAGGGCTGGTTCCCAACATTGCCCTGACTCCCGTAGTAACGCAAGATCGCCCCAGAGTGGGCATCCGTTTCGGAATTGGATTCGCGATAAAGGTCGTTTGGGATCCGTTCGAGTTCAAGTCAAGTTTTTGGTTGGCCTATGTAGGTGATGCCAGTGATGCCAAGATCAAGCATTCATCCTTGACCCGTCTACTATCCCAGGAGGTCGTTGGCCCACCCGGCATTGCACAACTTGGCACCTGAATGCCTTTGCACAAGTTGGCACCTGAATGTCTCCTCTCAAAGGTCCTGGTTTTGCTTATAAGGGTATTTTCTATTTTGCGTATGGATTAAAACCACTACACAACCAGGTCAACCATTGTTGGACTCATGGTCTTGTAAGCCTCATTCTTCAGGCCAAGCATTAAAACCCTTGCGGGGAATATGTTATATTTGTTCCGGTTCCCTAAGCTAAATGCAAGAGGCTCATCAGCTGAAAAAAAAAAAAAACTGTCACTGGAACTGGTCGATCCGATGCAGACTCTTCCCACGAGCGACACGCCAACCTTCACTGGATGGCACGAGAACGGGGATGGGTCTGCAGAAAGCAAGCTGGAGATGTACAGAGGACGTTGGGCACTGTTGTCACCAGACTACTTGGTTATTGCAACTTCGAAGCGCTGGAAGACTTGATTGTGCCTCGCGTCCGACCGGATAGCTGGTTTGATTTCAACTCCAGCAGCTTGCTCAAGTGTTTTGGCGATCTGCCTCCTTATCTTTCCAAAAAGAGGGATGCGCACACCCCCTTTGTTGAAAGAACACTCAACATCCAAAAAATGTTAGGTTTTCTTTCCGTGGCATGTCCAGTTCGGCCTTGAGAGATTCAGCCTTCCCTGTTTCAAACTGTTTCAAGTGTGGGTGCGGAGACTTGCCTGACTCCTTCAGGGACAGCCGGAGTCGAGCCCTCGATGGTCGTCGAGTCTTGCTGTCGAAGCTGCGCAGCCCTGGCGGAACCGCAACTGGGTCTTGCTGCGACCCCTTAGTGTGACCAGCAGGGACTATGTAAGTTGAAGAGCAAAAGGTTGAGTCCAATTCCGTGGAGGGCGGAGAAGGAGCTGGTCGACCCAGAGACAACACTTGTAGCGTGGGTATATGTGTTTACTGTAACACAAACCCAATGGACCTTCTGATGCCTCCTTTCCAGTGATCAGACGATCCATACCCCAGACACGACCTGTCTGGGACTGCCATATACATTTGGGCTGGTTTTGGTGGTCAATGGGGCGGCAGTCCTATGGCAGTCCCATGGAGTGTTTGGGGTACTATATACGATAAGCATATACCTTAGATGTAAACCTGAGGTTGACCTCTATTTGACCCTCTAAAGCCCCAAGTACCGCAAGTACGAAAACAAGGATACCATTAGGAATGGGTAGGATGTCCATTGGTATCCATTGGGAAGGATATCCATTAGGAATGCTATCCCTAAGTATATCCCTTCCCAATGGATACCATTTACATGCGATCGAAGCTTCGTCACATCGGGTCGCAGAACGAGGAACGAGGAACTCGGCGCAGAGCGAGCGTCATCCGGAACGAAGAGAAGCGTCCTTTCTGTGTTCGACCTTTTCCGGTCACCGGTGAAAGAGGGTTCAATCTTCTCACCCTACAAACCATCCCTAGGAATCCAGTCGTACCTTCTCAGGTACGGTGAGGACGGAGACTCTTTATGTAGGTTCTCAGGAGGGCCCAGTCGTACCTTCTGAGAAGGCCCTTGGATCCAAACCATGGTTTCATAGGGTTTTCGGTGGTTTCATGTACCACATGGGACGTACTCCAGGGGCTCCACCAGAGATAGATCTGCCGGCACGGATCCGGACAGAAGCTCCCCACGGGAGCTTGCTGTTGATCCGTGGCTGTGGGTGATACCTGGGTTCTACCAGCGGGTGCACCAGCGATCTTCATGGTGAAAAGCCTCGTTTGTGTCATGAAGAGCCTCCACTTTTCTCGATTCGCCTACGGGACTGCTGCCTATGCAATCCAATTCTCTATTTCAAGTGGCTAACCAGGGCCAAACTGCTCGGTTTTTTGGGTGATCAACGATGGGTCAATGTAATTATAAGATACTAAGATAAACATGTCCAAACTTTGCTATGCATGAAAAGAGAAATTAGGTAGGTCCATGAATTGTATGTCTATGGCATCATCAAGGCACGTTGACAGGGTCAAGAAGGTGCTTGGGAATAAATTCACCAACTGACTCTGCGGGTCTGGCAGGCCCAACCAGTCAGAGACTGGAGAAAAGATGAGTCCTGAGAGTCTAAGTATACAAGCCAAAAAGCGGAGGTTTCAAAAGCTGAATTGTTCTATATATGAAGTCAATAGATAGAAGATCGTAGATTCGTAGATCCCCACGGAGAACGTGTATCGGAAACCGTGCCATCCATTTGGGGGGCACTTTATAGACTTGATATGACATAATTTGATCACAATTTCCTGGATGAAACTTGATCCAACCACCCCCCCAGAAGCTTGGACCCTCGGCTGCCAGCCAACCATGATGGCTGCTTTCGAGTTTGCGAAATCAACGGCAACTTTCGAGTGCTAACGCCTCATCAACCACATGATGAAATAGTATTTGTTCGGGAGTAGCTTCGCCGCTGCGCATGGCCGCTGCGCATGGCCAGCAGTTTGCGATCAGACGACGAGGTGCGCGGGGGGTAGTTTTATTGACGTGTTTTTGGGCGCAAAGGTGCGCTGAGGCAGGGCGTTTGGACACCCTTTCATGGTCATTCCCTTTGGGACACGTGAAGGTCCCAAAGAAGCAGAAAGGAGCCAGACAGACCTCGCGAGGACTTTGGCAACCTCTATCAGCGGTCGTTTCTAAAATGGGTCGGTCAAAAAATGGGCGAGACATGTGGTTCTTTTCGAGTGAACTGTGCATGGCGCCTCTTTTTCCAAGGACCTTCAGCAAGTGACCAAACATCCGGAGGAGTCTCCATGTTGTATGTTTGTGACCGAAAAAAACGGGGCGAGAAGGATTTTCCATCCATCCTAGACGCTCCATGGGACTGGTATCTTTACCTACATGGACTCCTTTTTCAACCCCCTGATCGGCACACAAGGCTCCGCCAAACAGGTCGTAATTGTCGGAGATCCGTTTGGAGACGGGTGGTGTTTGGCAATCCATCTAGGTCTCATTAGGACCCGTTGTGATTCTGTAGGGCATGGAACACTCATGTGCTCTTTAGTACCATCCGTACAAAATTACAGCAGCAGTGCTGCCATTGATTCTCTGTCTACACATCCAAGCAAGGATATGATTCTCTAGAACATTTGGAAAATCAAGTCTCTGACCCCTGTTTGGACTCCCCCGGGAATGACATGTTTTTTCTTGCTGGTCACCCTGATTGGGAAGTAGGAAATATGTATTTTCAAAATGCAGCTGCACCTAAGGAAAGGGAGGTCGGTAGCGCTACCGACCTCAGTAAGTCCATGGCTCTCAATCAATGGGGCATGGTTTTTGAATTGATTTAAGCATCCCTGAATTACTTTCACAGGAACTTAAGAAAATCACATGGAGGCTTACTGCAGTCGGTAGCGCTACCGACCTCACTAAGGGAGAGTATACCAAGCCCTGTCACTACTGAGATGATTTCCTTAAGTGTAGTTATGAAACTGTTTGAAAAGGTGAATTATTTTCAATTCTAAGTTCCAATTGGGGGAGATGGTCCTCTATCAAAGGAGAGAGTAGGAGAGAGAGAGAGAGAGGGGTGTAAAGCCTGGCTGCCTGACCGATTTTTCATTTAACAACCAGAAGTGAGCTTTATGGCTACAGGACCGTTTGGCTGCATGACAGATCTCCGGTTTGGCTGCTTGAGGGTCTCCTTTGCCTTACCCTTGTCCCACGGCCAGGTTAACCCACCTTTTTATTTGGGTTTTAATACTATTCATTGATTTTATTGGATTCATCATTGAGTACTTCCGAGCTGCGGTCCCAGCGGCAATTATTTTGACATCTTTAAGTGCGCCCCAGAACGTAAGTGGTGGCTTCGGATATATTTATGTTCAATCCTTACTTGAGCTAATTAAACCCACTGACAAATATTTGTTCAATGGAGTTGAAAGCCAACCAGATATGGAAAACCACCCCTCTATTCCTTCCCATACAACATACGATCACCCGTTCAGTACTGGACCATTGATATCCATCGATCCCGCCAAGTGGGATGAGTGGACGGGTGACGGTACTTACACCAGCAGTCGCAAGACGGAGTGCTATCCATGGAGGTTAGGGGTGCCACTCACTGGCTGGGACGAGCCACACCACCCCGAGCTCTGTGACTGCTGATATATTTGATCAGAGTAGACACGGAGTAGACGAATGTCATCTTGAACCAGCACCAGCCAGTTCGGATGCTCTTGTCGTATCGACCCGTCTTGAAGATGTCTATCTTCCATCCAGCGCCACCCTCCGAACTGGGTGGCGCTGGAAGATGTGCCAGCACCTTCATGCCGGGGTCACCTGGCTGGAAGCCCCTACAAAAACCAAGGGACCTCCAGACAGGACACCCCGAAAGAAGGTCCAAGTGGATTGAAGGTCCAAGTGGACACTACCAAGTGGATTGTGTCCTTGAAGGACACCCCGAAAGAAGGCCCCTTGATGGTCTTTTGTGACGTTGAGCAGTTGGGATTTCAGATGTGAAGCCCGACAGGGCCGACGGTTTCGGATGTGACAGACGAAGCGTTTCCGTCGTCGGAGTGGACTTCCAGCTGTGGAGTGGGGTGGAGTCTTCCATATGACTCAGAAGCTTGAACAGTGAACTATTATAACAATCAGAAGCTCTCATGTGTTATTCTTGGTTGCCTTTACTTTGCAAAGATCAAACAACACCTTTAATATATATATATATATACTTCATGATAGTTGTGACTTCGCCATCGACTTCGTTTCGTTTGTTTATGATGTATCGGCCGGCAAGTTGGCCGCGGAGGCCCCAGGCCATCGCCTCCACAAGCGCGTCGCCCGCGTTCAGGCTCTGCCGTTTCCCAGGCAGCAGCGAGCAGGCCTCAAATTGGTGGAGCCATATGAGGAGCCGGAGCTCAAAGGGGTTGAAGTAAGAGTCCAACACATTTCCCAGACACGACCTGTCTGGGACTGCCATAGGACTGCCGATCAGGCCAGGGGTGGTTTTGGGGGTCAATGTAGGCGCATACGTGGAGTGTTTGGGTTTGAGAGTTTGGAGAACCAGTTCTTTTTTTCCTGCAGGAGCTCCCCCTGCAACCCAAAAGATGACGCGGGGGGGAAGAGGATGTTTTCAACAACGAGAGCCTCCCGAAAGTGTGTGTTATTTTTTTTTGTGGGGTGAACTTGGTGGTGCAGGACGTGTTTTCATCCGTTTCATCCATCTAAATTCATTGCACAACTTGCTGCAGCTGGCCCAGCAGTGCTGGGCTAGCACCCTGAAGAAATATCATCAAACGCCTTGAAAAACACGTCCTTTAGAGACCAAGACCAGTTCACAGCGATCGGAGGGCCCGTTGGAGGGTCACCTGTTCTGTTTGGGCGGCGACAGTGGTACAGCACCAGCAGGAGACCGACCGGGCACGAGCCAGGCACCCCATTTGAGCACGAATCCGGCTTTTTCGGTGGGAGCCACAGCTGTACGACAGCCGACCCGCAGCAGCAGGATCTTCAGCACTGCACACGGAGATATCTTGTTTTGTTTGATGATGCGATCGCTTTATCATGCGATCGCATCATCATGCGATCGTTCGAAATCCTTAGAGTCAAGGGGAGCCACGTGCACGATCGCGCACGCTTGTGAGGACCACATTCTTCAGGAGTGCCTTGACGGATATTTTTTGCGGGGAGTCGGACTTGCTTCTCTAGTCGTCCTTTACTCACGAGCAGAAGGACAATTGGGGATTTGGCCATCAGAATCATACGTAGCAGAATGCTGTCATTATTAATACATATTAATATATATATATATATTTGGTCTTCCTCGGCCCCAGAATCGGGGGCCCCTGAGGTACTTGCTCAAAACAGCAAATCTAAAGGCCTCCCAGGTACCGCTGACATAACTATTCAAAACTGAGTGCTTAGGAGACCATCCAAGGCTTTTCCGCATTTTCTGCAGTGTGACGCAGCGTCACAAAGCAAACATCAAGGTGTGAGACAGAGGATTCTTGCAATATGATTCTCATATTTTGACTTCATAATTCTTCTCCATAGCAATTGAGGTAAGAAAAAGGATTTGGACGTGTATTTTTGTCTTGCAAAAATGTTTGGACAATTGCAAACTAAATGAATGTCTTGCAAAAGAATGTTCCTGCAGCGGCTTGGCACTTGTGGAAGGTAAGACACTCGTCTCTATGATAGCTTTATAGCGGTAAACTGCTCATTTATAGGGAACCCGGGACCGTGAAGTGAGCGTGATGTACCCGTGAACACGCACCTCAAAAACCACATAAGCCCCCCAGATACCAGTAAAGGCCGTGAGGAAACCGTGATGTAACCGTGAAATTCCTCAACCATGATCCCGCTGTGGCACTCCAAAACCTAAAAACAATGACATTCATTGTTCAATTGTCAATTCTTTTGCAAGACATTCTTTGTTGATGAGGATGGGATGGGGTGGATACGCAAGTGTGCGCCACATCTTCACCGCCGAACATTTGAGTACAGCCTGCTTGAGAGAGCGATTTATCGGCTGCTCGCGTCCAAAGAGAGATGGTCACATGGTGTGAAGCAGCATGCGCAGTGATGAAAAAGGGTCCAACCTACGTAAACATGGTGTGGGTCACACAAAAACTGTGATGGGAATGTGTTCTTTCCATCTTCATTGTGAGGCAGTGATAGTATGATGTTATGAATATACCCCTTGAGTGGTATTTGGTGGCCTAGGGCTGCACAAGACCGCCCTCTTAAGCAAGGCCGTGGTTTCCAAAACCCTTTGGACGAAAAGGGATAATATACATATATTTGCTGATGATTAATTAGTGAGCTATCAGGAGTCGGAGTTGGATCTGGTCTTCTCCCTTTTTCCCCTCACAGCACGAGTTGAGGTCAGGCCTCATGTCGCTAAAAAGAAGAAAAGAGGCTGAGGACACGAGCCTTCAAGTAAAATGAGGTGAAACGAGAGAAGTGAGCCCTGGAGTGGTCTTCTTCATCGACTCTCCAAAACTGCAACCGCCCCAAGGATCCTTCGCTTCCACGCCACCGCTGTTTCCGCGCGCGAGCGGGCAGAGGAGCCAGGGAAACCCAGTGCAGCTGAAGTCGTGAGCGTGGTTCAAACTGCCGGGTGTTGGGGATCTGTCACGAGTGCATGGGGGAATGGTTTTAGATTTTTAGCGGTTGGTGAAGTTTTGCCCGGCAAAGGACATCCACATGATGGGATGGAGCCTGACAACTTATTGAAATTTCAGGGGCGTATCCAAGTGACGCCCCTAGTTGGAATGTTGGGCACAGTGCAAGAGACAAGATCTGAAACATTCGCAGTAACTTAACCTTTACTGTAGCGACAAAGTAAAATCTGCCAAGACACTGCAGCGGCAGCCGCTGAGTCTAGAGTCTTGAGGTTTCCGCCGTAGCAACCATTCCGCCTCTAGAAGCTGTGTCAACCATCCTGGGTCGGGGATGGTGATTGAAATCGAGGCCTTCTAGTCATTTGTGCACAGGACTTGTGACCATGGTTGCACAACCTCCGCGGAGAATGGGACAAAACCATGATACCTCGTTTCTTGGATATGGGTACGGTATGTATCGAAATAAGACCTCCTTTGATTCTCCTTTGAAGGTTCGGAAAATAGACCCCTCTACATGATTGGGGTCCCCACCCAGTGACACACCCATATTTGGGTTCTCCCAGACACAACTAATGGGACTGGCATATTGATCATATTGACCTAAATTGGTATGCTTTTGCGGGGTCAAGGGCTTTTCTGGGTGTGGCTTTGTTACTAGTAGTAAGGACGCTACGCACGGTGGAGGCCATCGCTAGTAGGTTCGAGGCCATTACTAGTAGCAAATGACTACTAGTATCTTCTTGTTACGGCATCTATGCCAATCCTCAAAAAGGTCATCTTTGTGCCGTGTCGCGATGTTTCCTCGGTCTCCACGTGATGCCCACAGAACAAGTCGCACCTGGAGACCATTGATCGACCGGACCGACCGGAGATTCAGGTCGACCGACGTCGGATCGGTCGTGCAGCAGCCAAAGGGGTGCTGGATTGGCCCGTGATCCATTCACTTATGATCCCCGGTTGGTAGTCATAATAGAATGGGGGGAGGCTGGCCCCAACCGGGGATACTTATGTACTAAACACCACCCTTTTGTGACTCCTACTCTGAGCAAAACGTTTTAGCCATTTCTTTTCTGTCGCTGTCCGGATAAAGGCTTCACGGGGGGCTTCTTCAGGCTTCACGAATTCAATAGGACTAGAAACGTATGATCTTTATTTAAGGCAGGAGCCGAAGCTGGGCAGAAGCAGAGCCCAGACACTCCATGTATGCCATATATATGCCTACATTGGGGTGGTTTTGGGGGTCAATGTAGGCATATATGGCAGTCCCTTGGGTCGTGTCTGGGGAGTAGATCAACGCTGATGTCCTCCGTTTTCTGGGGTCCGGCCTCTTCGGCCGTTTATCGATCGCTTGACCGGGCAGAGCAGGTCCGCGACCCAGCGAGCGGGATTCTTCGACTTCGATGAGTTGGAAGGCCGGAGGAGTGGCGGTCCAGTGGATCCCGGGAGAATTCCCGGGTCGAGACTCCCGTGGATCCCGGGAGAATTCCACGAACGAGGAGTAGTCAGTACGGAGCCAGGGGGGCCCATTGTATAAGTATACAGACTCTCCAACGCTTAGAACGTGTTCGTGGCCACATCGGCTCGGCCACCGGAGCCACGCTCTCGCAGGTTCAGCACCTGCACCACCGACGAGACCTCTTCCACCGCCTTCCGAGGTGCGGGGCGGCCGGGTATGGGCGCTGAAGTTGGAACACCTGGAGAAGGGAAACCGAACCCAGACACGACCTGTTTGGGACTGCCAGGACGGACTGCCGAGAAACGGCCAGGGGTGGTTGACTGGGGGTCTGGCTGGGGCGGCAGTCCGAACTGGCAGTCCCATGGGTCGTGTCTGGGTAATGTATTAATACTTCAAGAACCCTAAAGTTTACGCTTCTTACTCTGTTCCAACATGACACTTGCGGTCTACAGCGGATCGGATTAACACGTCCGTTTTGCGTGGCAGGTACAGCACGGTCAGATTTCCACACCCGTTTAAAATTATAATATTTATAAGGCTTTCAGGTGTGGAAACCTGACCGCGACTGAGGTGTCGACATGTTGCACGTAGGATTCTAAGGGGAAAGGGTTTGTGATGTTTTAGAAGTCAAGAAGCGCAACTTTTGGCACCCCAGTGTATTGATGTTATTCTGGATTTTCTCACTTTTATAAATGATGACCAGCTAAATACGAATTAAACAATAATGTGCCTCAGTGTCAGATCATTGCAAAGAGGACAACACATTATTGTTGATATGGTTGTTGATTCAGGTCCCCCTACTGTACCAGAACAGTTTTACATATCCATTATATAATGTAGGTTAAGTAATTAGATATTAGAAATGTCAGTTGACATGGAGAGTGTGGATGACGGATGAAAGCGGAATTTGGTACATGATGTGGGGATGCCATGTGTACGACGCGAGCAGGACGAGTCAGTGGTTCCGGCCGTGACCATTGGGAGATGCCCGAGCCAGCCATGTTCCACTTCATGGTCCCCGTGTAGTAGACCCTTTACCAATGGGTAATTAGACTGGTCTATTTTCCTCTTCCAGGGGGGTCTTCTGGAGGTTTTTCCTATTTTAATACACCCAGACGCTCCGTTCACAGCCCGACTGGTCCCTCAAAACCATAGCAATTTGAGGGTCCAGACCATATGGAGGGTTGAGGAGCGTTGTACTACACACCCGTAACATAGACCATTGACCCAGGGGATTGGCATCATCGTTCGACCTTGGTGCTTGAAAAAAAAGGGGTCTGGCGGCGGGTCCAGTCGCAGCTTTGGGGGTATGGAGCGCGACTGGAACACTGGTTACACTCAGGAACTGAGTGCAGGCTTCCTGTTCTCCCGCAGGAAGAAGTCTTTCCCAGTCTACTGTATGGAGCTATGGAGCTTGCTCCCCTCGGTTGCTGCGGCTGACAGAACTGAGCCAAAACTGGCATAGAAACTCCCCAGACACTCCATGTATGCCATATATGCCTACATTGACCCCCAAAACCACCCCTGGCCTGATCGGCATTTATGGCAGTCCCATGGGTCGTGTCTGGGCTTGAACAAGCCTTTGGGAGGCCCGGTCCATCCAGGAGCATCCTGAGAATGCACAAAAGTACGGACTCACACCCGTTCGACCATTCGAGGTGACCCGGGAAGGAACGTGACAACTCTTGCTCACCAGCTGCGCAGAAACTCAAGCAGTACGAGGGGCGTCATGGTACCCAAACTGTTGTTTCATGTGGTTTCCATTTTGTTAACTAATTTATCAAGTTGTGTCATGTTAATGTTTCAAGTGCACATGATTCAACACTGCCTTTGCACGTGAAGACGTTCATCCAGCCAAAGCCGCTGGAAAACAAGAAAACATTAAAAGGAAAACATGAAAAGGAGAGCCCCTTGACCACACCAACCAGATTGGGAATCTTGCTTGTGGTTTCAGATATATTTTGATATATTGTATGTTACATGTTACATGAATGTTTTGATCTTCAACCTTTACTTGAGATTAAACTGCCCCCGCGGACCAGTATTTTGTTCGAGCAAGTTGAAGCCACCAACCAGTCATGCGTGGTATTCGGCACGTACACGGCTTCGCTCGTTTTGGGCCTGTATTCGCTAGCCGTGTAATGGCGTTGGTTGACCATGTTTGGTTTGTCAAACGTTCATGTTCTTGGCACCCGCTCTTGGCACCACACGACCTGTCTGGGAGAAGGCCTGGGCCCCTGGGGTCGATCAACCACCCAGTCACCTTTTCTCCGCACGTCCGCCAGTCCCAGGGACCTTGCTTCCTGCGTCTGGTGGGGTTCTGAAACACCTTGGGGCCCCCCCCAACACGCCAACGTCCAACAGCGCCCGGTCCAACAGCGTCCAACAGCGCACGTCCAGCGCCCGGTCTTCGTCCTCTCCCGTCGCCATGAGCGCGGCCGCGCCGCTCACGGCGGCGTGGCTCGCGGAGCGGCTGACGCGGCCGGTGACGCACGTGGAGGTCTGACCTGGGTCGGTGCTGGTAGGTGCAGGTCGGTTCAGGGAGAAGGGCTGGTTTGGATTTTTCAGGCAAGGGTATTGACGGTATTGATGGTATATCTGTAGAATGGGGGGGATTCCGCCAAACTGTATCAAGTAGGCCAATGCACATACGAGAGCCCCTCTTGAGGGTCAAACTGTTAAACATCGTCAGGCTTGTTGTACTATGGGATCAAGGTCTAAAGAATTTTAGGCTATGTTTAACAATCAATCGGAATAGAAATATACATTAATATGTGGTAGCACATAGCAAACCAGGAAGCGTCACAAACAGTTTAATCTGCAAACATAATGCACTAGATAATTATGTACTCAGAATTATACATCAAAGCAGTTTTTGTTCATGGACATTGGCCACATTGGCTGTCAATGTCTTTTGAATGTACCCTTCAGGTGACAGGTCAGATGGTGGAGCTCTTGAGCAGCAAAAGGGAGGGAGACCCTAGGACGCTGCTGCAACTGGAACTGACAATAACCCCGAACAACTTCCTGATTTGAAAGATTGCTTTTTCATAGCTTCCATATCTTCACCTATCCTCTATCCACCGGATAACCATGAAGCCTCAAGTTTCATATAACAAGCACGTAGCCGATACTGTATTATCTATTGATGCGATTCGTTGCATGAATGGGTAATTCATACCATATCTCGACTATACTGATCATTCTCAGGAATACTTTGCAGCACTTGTTTGCGTTCAAGCCTTCCTTTGTGTACCCTTGACCTCCTTGTACACTATACTGCCAGCCCGTATCCGCTTAGAATGGGCAACAAAGTTGGGAGCAGAGATCGCAAGTGTGTGCACCAGTATTTCCAACAGGTGTTAGCCAACCAATTTGGTCTATATTAAAAGAAGAGACCTCCCGTGACCTCCCAATTCGACCCCTTGGAATGTGGACGACCAACCCCATTGGGCCTGGGGGAGTCTTTCTATTTAAACAAAGAACACATTGGACATTGGAATTTCAGTTTTCTTCAGCTTGGGTGCCGTCGTTTTGGCGCTCGTCCTCTGCAGATGGTGTAGGTGGAGAGCATGGGCTCTGCTGGCGGCTTGAATTGCTCGATGGTACGATTGGTCTCTTGGTCGGATGCATCCCTGATCGGAGCATATCACGTTGCTCGAGGAAGCGATAGATTGCTAGATAGATTGATTGATTGATTGATTGATAGGAACCGTTCATACATCGAGCTACTATACACGTGTAAGAGCAATGCATGGAGCTACTGACTCTAATCAGTTATTCTGAACTGTTGATGCTTTTTGATTGAGTAGCACCCTCAAGCGAAATGTTCGCAAATCTCTCGAAGGGGCTCTAGTCAAGGTTTGGATGCATTGCTTATATACCGTTCTCGAACACCGACACTCCAGTCTTGAACAACAAGCATTCTTCCGTTCAGCAATGACCCAATGGGTTGCCAGGTGAGCCGAACTCTTCTTCAAGACTGGCCAAGTTGGAACTCTTGGAATACCACACCCAGTGGATCCAAGCTACCATAAGGAACCAGGGATTCTAGGTCTATGGGTTTTAGTCTTTGGAACCACTGGTTGCCAGCGAACTAGTGGTTTGCCTGGATGCCCTGGGATATACGTCCGATGGTTTCCTCTTCGTCATCGAAATCAGATGCTCCGTGATATCCGATGGTTTTCCCTCTACAGAAGAGCCTCTCAGATGAATGGCTGTTTGTTTGAATGTCTGCGCTGGTGCGGGTGACTCCGGTGATTCTACGAAATGCACTTGAAACGCACCAATCACCAAGCACAAAAACCCGAAGCGTCATGAAAGAAAACACCAAAGACCGCGAACAGTGAAAGAACATGCGGAATGTGATCTTGTTGAAAGCTGCTATGGGGACCTGTCATCACAACCCATCTGCGGCGTTAAAGAATGGAGGAACAAACTCCTTGACTCCTTCACCTTTCAGGACTCAGAAGAGATGAAGACTCCTGACTCTCTTCTGGTTTGATCGACCATGATCGACCCTGGAAAATGTTCAGAACAGAAGCGAGTCTTTGTTCCTAGTAGCTTCTTGTTACGTTCGTAGCGATGGCCTCCACCGAGCATAGCGTCCTTGCTACGTTCGTAGCACTTCATCAGTTCTAGAAAAGACTGGCCGACGCTCGAGCTCGCCACCTCTTGAAGGCGGCGGAGCGCCGCGACGTATCGAAAAGCACTCCATTGGACTCCGGACCTGGGATATTGACCTATGGGGTTGATTGGACCTGGGGTCTAGAACTGGGCCTTTGTTCCTTCCAGTCCCACCCGTCGCGTTTGGGTACTGTACAAGAGTTACGTATAGAGTGACTTGCCATTGACCGCCTCCATCTGCCGGCCGTCTCCTCGCTGCGCTCGACCCGACCCGCTTCGGACCCCGGCGTCAGGTCCTCACCTGTCAGGACCCGGTCCGCTCCGGTCCGCTTCGGTCGGCTTCGGCCACGTCGGTGTCCGTTAGAGAGGCGTTCGCCTGGGGGGCCATCCGGTGAGGAGGTTTGGAATGAGAAGGGGTGGGTTTGAAGTGGTGGTCATCAGGTTTTGTGGGGAGAAGGAATAGGTTTGGGTTATGGTTTGTGGTTTTGGGGCCCTGGGGCCAAAGATGTTGAGTTTGGTCGTTGCTTCATGGGGATGTGGGATGTGTGAGTGTCCATCTAAAAATTCTAAAAG